ACAAAAAAGAGTTTATTTAACCAAATTTCAAATTGCAGAGTCATTTAATCAAGCTGTCATAAAAAATAATAATAAAAAAAATGTTGGAAGTTTTCAAATATACAATTCTATATGAATTTATATCTGGAAAATAATCCTTTCCATTTGGATTAAAACATAAAATAAAAATTTCTCCTTTCATGAAGTTTTTATTCATGAATTTGCAGCTCTATTTAAAAAAAAAATCAACTTTATTTTGCAACATATTGTTTGCAGCCTCGGGGACAAAAACAAAACTCAGCAAAATTACGAAACTGTAGTGAATGAGTTTGGTGCGCGCCTTTGTGATTCAACGAGACCACAGGTGGGACGAACAAAGCTGCGCTGATTGAATGTAATTCGAAATGAGATAAACTTGGCAGAACAGAGTCGCGGCGGCAGAAGAGATAGCGCTGCATCAATTACAATTAAAATGCTCTGGCGAAACTTCATATTATTAAAGCCGTGCAAACAGATGCAGCACACATTTGAACAGAAGGTTGACTGACTCGTGCGTGAGTGAGTGAAGTTTCCAACAAATTCAACGCAGAAAGTTGCCGCTCGGCTGGTGCTGCGCCGAGCTGAATTTAATTAGATGCTGCTTACAATTTGAAAGGCAGCCTTCACCTCCAACGCTGCCTTATTTATTATTTATTAGCAAAAGCAACAACAAAATAACACTGCACAGTATTTATTATGTTCACGATTATTTTAAAACGGAAGAATGAAGTAAAAAACGATTTATAAAGTATAGAAATTTGAAACAACATTATTCATTTGCAAAAGTCATTGCAACAGATAGATTTCCAAAAAGACAAGCATATCTTGAAGTTATAAGGACTTATATTTCAAATCAAGAACGAAATTGAACATTCGACAAAAATAGAAAACAACATCTTAAATAATTGAAGCACTTATTGCTGAAATCTCTTTTAGTCGATTACAAATGAACCGTGAGGATGATGATAATGTAAAAAATATTTTAATAAAAATGACGATATTTTTCATATTTTCGTTGTAAAAAGGTTTGGTCTACTGTCGGAACTAATCACTGTTGGAATTGATTTACTGTTAATTCTCGAGTTCTTTTTGAAGCTCTTTAAATGCAGGGAATTCAGGATTTAATAGTTTAGTAAAAAATCATCTTAAACGGTGATGATGGGATCAAATTCAAGACTGGTCTTACTTTTCGCACGAACGCGGGCCGTAAAACGGCGTTGCTCCTAATCCCCATTCTCACACTTACTTTAACTCCTCCATCTAACGACGCCGCCATTATTTCCCATGCTCGCGGATAATAAAATCAACGCACTCAAAAAGGTGAGTAACAGCGTCTCCGGCGGCCGCTTAAAAATGATCTGCTCATCTCGACATTGAAATAAAGCGGCGGCACATTATCGCTTATCTCTGGCACGGCAAGCGTGTAATAATTAATCCCTTCAGGGAGAATTCCCCGCCCGAAGCCGCAGGGTGGCGTCAAAACTTAAACACACACACAGTGCAGGGGCGGCACCCCCGAGCCCGTTCACTGCAGCGGATGGATGACGCGCTTGTGCTGCCGGGAATTGTGCAAATATTAATTGGGTGGAAAGTTGCGTGTGCATATTTGTTCACGAGAGCAAAAATGCGAGCGAGCGAACGCGTCCGTGATTTACGAGCTACACGCAAAATTTATCGCTGCGTTTGCATCGCATGACGCGAGAACTTCAAGTTTGTATGCTGGGAAACTTTGAGTATGCTGCTTGGGATCTAAGACAGAAGCTGATAATCGTGTTATGAATTATGATTTTCTTGACTGTTATTTAACATTGCTGATGTAAATCACCCAGTTTATCAAGTTGAATCATAGGAGAAATTATATAATTCAGAAGTCAATACAAAAATAGTTTTCTTACCAATCCAAGGGCTCTGATCTCCACATTCTGTAAAATTCAGTAGAATAAGCAGTCACACGAATACTATGTTTCAATAATTTATAGGCCTTTAAAATTCAATTTGGCTTTCAAATGTTCCAGCTTTAGATATTTATATGTAATAAATGATTAATATATATTATTTTTAATTCAAAATTACATTCTTAATTTTAAATTTCATGTGAGATTAAAATTTTTTTTTACAAGTGGCAAACGTTTGCAGCAAAGTCAAATGTAATAATACCCAGATTGATTCAAATAATAGTAATCATGTCAATTTAAAAATAAATAAAATTATATTTACTGAAGTGTTAATATTGGGAAAAAACTTAAACAATGATTTAAATCAACATAAGACATAATTATACGATAAATAATTTAATTATTTAAAGATTAAATAAAATTATTGCAAGTAATGAAAGTATTAATTTTGTAATTATTCATTGTTATTTAATTAAATTTATAATGCCTTTACGTAAAAATTTTTGTGTCCTATAACATAGAAAGATTTTTGACATAAAATGAGCATAAAAAATCAACCAAGCACACAAAGTGCCGAGCGTGGCGCGATTGCCTTCAATAAAGAGAAATATAATTCTTCTTGCGTCGGTCGTCCGGAAGAAAAAATTCCGATTTTTGCAATCTGCCGACCCACAATGTCGGCGAAGAATGGCAAGAAGGTTGCTGATAGTGGTGCTGGCTGCCGGCCAAAGGCGTGTTTCCTATCGTGCAGAACACCTTTTGCACGCAGCAGCTTTTATTCGCTGCCACCGACCTTTGCCGAGCTCAGGTTTTGCCAAAATTATTTTTTCGTGACGTCTATAATTTATTGCCGACGGAAAATTGAAAATCCGCCCACATCGGCACGCTTTGGACGCCGACCAACCGAGACGATTTCCGCTTAATTAGACTCGCTCGCCATTTTTCCGGCATGTTGCTCCGATTTCTATCGATTTCTTCCCGTCAACTTTTTCTTTCGATGATTAGTGTTCACAATCAGAGACGACAAGAATGAAAATTTTCTTAACGAATTGTAAAGAATGGCTTAACAATTATATGGTGCAACAATAAAAATATATTATGAATTGATTTGAATCCATATAGAACTATTGTTTCAAATAAAAAAAAAAATAAAGAAAGAAACGGAAGAAATAAAATGGCAGTTTTAAAAACTATGAGCGAGATTATTATTATTTTGAGTTAAATGCAATTTCATTCCATTATCAGTGGCTAAAATTTTGTAATTTAAATCCATTTGAATTGCTTTTTACAAATTTATATTTTGATTCAAACAAGTTTAGGTAAAGAAGTGGAAATTTGAGCCAAAGTATTATTTTGCTTATTTTCTATTTGTTTATTTTCATGAAATAGAAATGCCGCAGATCCTCATTACTATTGGCAGAGCCGTTTGTCAAAAGAAATTAAACTAACAAGGACGAAGCCTGATATTCAGTTAACTTGGCCATACTCAAATAAACAATTTCCTTGTGCAGAGCTTTGGTACCTTTAATAAATTAATAAAAAATTCAATACATGATACTGTTGCCAGGCAAGGATTTGCTTATGTTTAAAATTGAACAGGCAGAACATTTTGATCGAAAACTTTCCTGTACAAGCTGCAAACAAGCCGAATTTTCCAGGAAAATTCAACAAAGAATGGATAGTTCCGAATTCCCTTTGTGAAAATGTTGAATAGATTATCTCCCTTTTCAAACGTGTTTACATCAAAAATATTGTGAGGCGAAGAATAATAATAAACTCGGGTGGAAAGCAGAGAACTGATAAAAAATTTCTCCACCGCGTGTTTATTTTGACCTCGCGTTTCCGCAAGAACAAAATTCCGCCACAAGTAATGAGCACCGGCTGTTGCCCATTCTAAATTTTGCGGCCGTTTCTCAACCTGTGGGTCTCGTCGACAAAACGCCCGAGCAAGAAACCTACCGCTTTTTCGCTGGGCCGGAAAGTTTTGAGCCCTGCGTGGTGCGGTATGTGTGGCTTAATGAAATTAGTTTGACATTTGCGTTGAAGGCGGCTGGCGGGCGGGAGGACCTTTTGAACTTTCCTATTACGTTGGCTCGTCCGTCCGTCCGAACGAATTGCGTGCGCGTTTAATATGGCCCTATACTTTCAGCGGCAAACGAGCAGCCCTGATATATCAAAACTTAATTATTTCCCATCGTACGAAGAGAGCGCATCTCTCGCATTCATGCAAATTCGAGGGCTCTCGAATTAACCCGACTTTAAAGTACCTTTTCAGCGAAACACGGCCGAGGTGATCTCGCTGGAATCGAGTACGGTATTATGGCTAACTCCTGGCATGCAGATTTCATTAACGATGATTTATTCAGGTGGTCCTAAATTGAGTACTTTGGTTTTAGAGACCTTGATGAAAATAATTGGGTTCAGCTAAAAATTGACCCACACTCCTAATTAATTTAAGGCACATACATAATAAATAGCATAGCAGCGGTTTTTCTATTGTAAAAATAACTTTAAAAATTAATAAGAAACTCCTATTATTTAGATATCCAGGAGATAACTCTTGCATTATATTTTATTTGAAAAACAGAAATCGATCGGCACAAAATACATTTAAAAAAACGATAACAGTTAAATCCGGCTAATTAAATTTTACCTGTGTTCTTGATTACTTACTGACTTGACATTAGAAATGTAGAAATAATTTTTACAAAACGCTTATTTTCATTTACAGATAATTGCTATTTTAAATTATTCTTGAACTGAAGTAATGCTGCTTTCCTTTGAGACATTAAAAAGTAGAACGATAAATAAAACAAATTATTAGGTAAATTTTTAGCACATTTTATCAAACATTTCACTTTGGAAAAAATATTTTTTCTAGATTTGTATTCAGCAAGTCTGTGAAGAAAATTGAGCCTATTTCAAAACGGAAGGCCTGAATATTTTTGGCAGCACTTGTGTGCTCAAAAGTGCCACACATTCCATTAGTTTCCGTCCAAAACATGCGTGTCGTGTGGGACACGCTCCGTAAAATCCAGCGGCCGAAGAGCGATGGGTGCACTAACGAAGTGGGTTTGTGTTTCGCAGGTCTCGTGGGTGCGGCACCGCGACATCCACCTGCTGACCGTGGGCCGGTACACGTACACGAGCGACCAGCGCTTCCGGGCCATCCATCACCCGCACTCGGACGAGTGGACGCTCCAGATCAAGTACCCGCAGCACCGCGACTCGGGCGTCTACGAGTGCCAAATCAGCACCACGCCACACATGAGCCACTTCATTCATCTCAATGTCGTCGGTGAGTACCCTTCCTTTATTCTTCAACAGCGGCCATCAATCGTGCGCGACTTGCCAACTCGTTCTGCATTCCGGCGCCGTCCGACGCGCCAAATCCTGCCAATAAAATGCAAACGACGCATCTCGATCGTTTCCACCTTTCCTGCCTTGCAAAAGTTCAAAGCGTGTACATGACTAGTTTCTTTTACTAGTTTAAAACGTTTTTCATGAACTAATGTTAGTAAAAAAAACTGCAAAATTATTGAGTTGAGAATTTACATTAAAATTTTCTATTTATCATTTAAAGTCTTCTATAAATAAACTAACAAGTATTTTGGTAGCAAATATTTTAACAACTTTATGGACGTTAAGCTGAGATTTATTATATTAAATAGTAGCAACACTATAAATATTATAATAACTTGTAGAAATCAATTTTTATAATCTAAAAAAAAAGCCTGAAAATTATTTTATAATGGCAAAGTATAAATCTAATGGTGAAACGATCAAATTAATAAATTAAAATACATAATAGTAATAATGGCATTATTATTAAATATTGGTTACATTATAAAAGTAGATTAAAATATCTCCTAAAAATTATTTAAAAATATATTAATTGGTTTAACTGTTAATAAAATATAATACAAAATAGTCCAGAAAGAACTAATCAAGTAAAATAAACTTTAATTTAGTTTTTTATTATTAAATAGTTTAAAAAATATCATTTTTGCAATTTTTGAAAGAATGCAAATTTTATAAAGTTTAATTTAAAAATTTGCTCAATGAGTTAAAAAAATTAATCGCTATTTTTTTTTCTTTTCTTTATTGAAATTTTTTGCAATTTCTTGCAAGGTCACACGTACGTGAACTTTAAACAAAATTCGTATAAGTACCAACCTGCCTGGAATTATTATTACAATCTACGTGCACAGCAGTGGGCTATGATTTAGGCAGCGGTGGTCGCCGGAGCAATAAAGCAGCGAGATATGCAAATTTTCCCACCTAGCCAGCACCTCTTTAATTCTCACGTCCGCCGGATTTGTGGCAGGTAAATCGGCCTGACGCCTGCTCGCTACCAGGGGGGAGATTTAAATTTTTACGACCGCAAAAATTAACAAGCGAACGAGAAAGTAATTACTTGGGAATGCAGATGTGTTAATACAAGAACAAAATCTCGCGTGCTGCCTAATTCCCCACATCCGACGAAACGCGAGTTCAAAGGCTTTTCTTATTTGGTTTTCGGCCAGGCTTAGTTCCTCAAAACGGGAATGCGATTAATAATCCAAACAATTTTATGCCAGAAGGATGAAATTCTGGTGCTTTGCTTGGAATTCTCCCTCATTACACATCAACAAACAGGCTGCGTTTAATTAATTTTCTCTTTATATACAGTATGTCAATATAAATTAACCTGTTTGTGGAAACCGCGACTTGTTAAGAGCCCTGGGCATTTTTATTTCAGCAATCTGCCTAATGAATTTCTTGTTTTGCAATGTCGGGGAGAATAATTAATTTCTGGCGAGATGCAAATTTTGCGTCACTAGTCGGAGCAAAATTGGCCTGCTGGTGAAGAAGATGAAAGAGACGTTTGACACTTCTCTCTTTTTCTCATTTGCATGACGACAGCGCGCCGCTTATTTATTGCGAGAGAGGAAAACACAATTGCCGCCGCCAGTTTCGCTGCCTTTTAAGCAGATTATGCGCACACCCAAGACGCGCCTTCAACTCCAATTTGCGGTAAAACGCGTCTTGCAGCTCGCGACGAGACTCGTCGTTTTGACCTGGAAGCGTTCATTATTCATGAATAAGCAGCAAGTGCGCCACTCAAAGAAGAAGACGGGCGCTTGTTTACTGCGCTAATTAACATTTTCGCGAGCAGCGAGTGCGATTTAATTTAGGCACGCCGCGCGCCGAATTTAATGGATTGTTCCGCGCTCTTGACAAGAAGTGCTGAGAGGACGAATTCAATGCTGAAAATATTACCAGTTTCGCAACTCGAGCGTAATTTGTTCTCACAATCAGTCGGGCGTGAATTCGCTGCCAATGTTAGAGGAAAAGATAATCAAAACGACGCCTCCTTGTACAATTTCTTAGCCAATTTTTTAAATGGAAATCAGTTTTAAAGAAAATGTGGATCATATGAAATTTTGAAATTCTTCGAAGGAGTAACCAGCCTTTTTTATTGAATAATTTTTTTCTTCTGGTCAAAATGATAAATGATAAATTGACTTTTCTTAATTGGTTTCCCAAATAAGATATTCCTCAAAATCAACAGTGGAATGAGATAAGTAATCTTAAGGAACTGCCAGCATGGTTAAGGTCTTGCGTTTCAAAGCTATATTTTAATTTAAAATGCAATTAATATTGAGCATAAAATACCGAAATGAATCAAAAGAGCAAAATAAAATGGAATGAAATATATCTTATGAATATTTAGTTTGTACATGAATCAAGTTCTCTTTCGGAAAAGTATATGACAAATTTGTCGAATATAATTCTTCCAACAATAAATTTTTTCAATATGTAACAATGTGATGGCAAAAATATGCAAAAAGTAACAAAAATAAAAATTTATTTTGTAAAAATTGAGTTAAACAATTTAAATATTTAAACTATTATAGTGGTTAAAATAAGAAATTAAAATTTTTAAATATTTAAAACAAAAATTTAAATTCCATTTTGTTAAATAAATAATTTGGAAATTATACGGCATCGTCAAATAAAGTCTCATAACAATGTCTGTAATTTTTTTGCAGCTAGTAATTGTAAAAAAAATCTGGCATTGTAATCACCATTGCTTTTAAATTCTTGATTGTCTGTTTCAATAAGCTTCAATAAGGATTCGTGAAAATTAATTTCAGAGGAAAAATAATCTTCTTAGTCCCTTTGTCAATAATTTTCAAATCTTAGATAAACTTTTGGTGCTGCAGCAAATCAAAAGATTATTAATTCCTTCTAAACAAACTCGAAGAGCTCCTCTTTAATTCCTAAAATGCTGTTGAGGAGCTCGCTTAACTCGACAGACGGAGTGGCTGAATAATACTAATAATTCATTTGCAAGTCATGCAGCCCTGCTCTCGAAAGTTTGGCCATCAGCTTTTCAAGAGGCCCTGAGAGCGCAGAGAGGTTTCTTGGTGGATGCCAAAGTTTGTGCTTCACCTGACACGCGGCTAAATTGGAGCTGCTCTCTCCTCTTTCTCTTTGAGCTGCCAGCGGAAATTAAAGCCGGTCTAAATATTCCTTGCTCGCCTGCCTAGCTGACAGCAATATTGGCCTCGGCTCATTTAAATACAATAATAATAATAAAGCCACGCACCCTCCCGCTGCCTACCTGCCTCGTAACTCTCAGCTCTCGTAATTGGCCGAAATTAATATTTCGCACTTTCAATTAACGCAAACCCGTTCCGTTATAATGCAAATTAATATACCTTTGGCCGTGTTTGCGCTAAAATCCCCTTCGAACAACATCAACAACTGAGGAAAATTCTATCGCCTGACCGAGGCCAATCCATCACAAGCCAAATAATAATTTGCCTGCGACACGTCAACAAAAAACAGCCCTCCGATTTTTCTCCCAATCCCTTCGTGATGATAAAAGCCTGTTTTTTTTCTCCAAACCACAAACTTTGGGCCAACTGTTTATACCCCTAAATTTTGTGAAGGTGAAATCGATATAACGCTCGCCTTTGTCCACCGTTGGCACTTTGTTTCCGAGGACACGGAAAATATTCTGCTAGAATTGAATTTATGTTCCGGGGCACGCCGCATTCCATTAATTTCACGCATCTGTTTTCACATTCCGAGTAATTTTATTCCAGAGCGACGCTCGGAATTTTAAAACAAAATGTGTGATGTTGGCGCTTGCGTGAAGATTTTTTTTCAGCTCGGCGAAAATTTTGTTTTAACGCAGCCTTTATTATTGTGCTTTAATCGGAGGAAATAATGTTGTTATATAATTGGGCCAATTAATTCATTCCACGAATTTGCGCAACGCAGCCTCTGTATTTCATGCGGTTAACTGATGCAGTACTACATATGCTCGCCATTTGCTAAAAACTTAATCGAACGGAATAAAAAAATCTGACAATATTTTAAATAATAAAAATTGATTTTTGATGCATCTCTTTGTGCGCATCATTAATTGCCTCTGTGATATATCAATAAATTTTCAACTAATTGGTAATTTAAATTTATTTTACACTTACTAATCTATTTTACGTTCAATTTGCATAAATAAATTAGATGTTTATGTAATATTTTAATGAATATAGTTGTTTTTACTTTAAAAACAATAAATATTTTTTCACAAATAAAATTTTAATATCATCTTTGCAGCATTTAAATTCATTATTCCTGTTTTTATTTTGGTTTCATTTGTTTTAAATAATCTTAAAAAGTGACGAAATATTTTCCACTATATATAACTTTACACATTGTGAAATATTTGCTAGAATTGTGATTTGGAGAAAACAATGTTGACGCACATTTATTTAAATTTGAAGTACTATAATTGTTTATATCATATTAACATAATAACTAAATATCCCCCATCACATCTGCCATTTGTTAACACTGACGTCACGGTGAAGAATAATTTCTATAATGTGTGTGACAGGCTGTTAAATGTTGCAAAGAAATAACAAATCTTATCAATTTTCCACGGCCGTGCTCTTAACAGCGCAGTTAATCTGAATAATGCACTTGGTAAGTGCGTCGGGCGTCTGTGGCGGCGCCGTAGGTACATTTTTCAAAACTCAGGTTGACGTGCCGTGCATGTGGGTTCGTTTAATAAATAATGGCACGCGTATTAAAATTAATGGGACCCTCTTGGCCGCCTGCAAAGCAACAACTTTTCAAGAAAACATGTCGCCCACATATTCTGCTGGGATGTCTCTTCGGCGCAAACTTTTGTTCTTTAGCGAAAGCTCTCGACGACACAAAAGCAACCGCAGCTAAAATTTTATGCCTGACACGCGGTGCGCAACTGAAAAAAAAAATTGAGGCGTTTATTTTAAAATT